TACATTTTTATTTTAATACAATACAACGCACAGATTTACATTAAATTCGCCTTGCTAGAGTTTATATTCCTTGTATTCATTCATAGGAATACTGTACGTTAATCGCTTCATCATAAAGATTGGTATGTAACTTACGCAGTCGATACACTCGTAACTTTACGACTTTATCTGATTTTTGCACTTGACACTTGAAATTTCTTATTTCATTTTTTATGTATGGATACTTATGATAAGACGGTCCAAAGAGTAAAGCTCAGCGTGCTGTTGACTGTATCCTTGTATGTAATTATAACCTCTCAATAATAATGTTAAATGGTTAAGAACAGAAGCACCCGTAAAAATGGAATAAAAAAATAAATCATAAAGAATTTTAATTGACCACTTCAATTTTTTCACGAATTCGAAAAGGGAACTTCATATTAAAACGTGTTGTTATAATATGTAGATACAATCCCTTCCTAAAACTTGTCCAGACCCGTGAAACACTTTGAAAGGCGGTTGATATCTTTTTATGCGAATTTCGAAATAATATATAGAAAACTTAACATACGAGTAATGTAACTGTTTTATCTAGGACAAACATTTCGACTCATCCGTAGAACAAAGACCCATGTGCAAGACTTCTTATTCTCAGGACATTATACATTTCGTTCGCTGTTTTTAGTTGTGGACATCAGATCGTCCATTGATCGATTTTATATTTTCGAAAAGAAATAATACATCAAATTATGAAAACACCTATAGCTAGGCCTTATTTTGAATAAGGAGATTATGTATTTATCCTATTTTCATTGTATAATCGGACTCTGTTCTTCGGATGAGTCGATTTAAAGCCCCGGTAGCCTAAGCCTAGAGCTCGCATCTCTGAGTATCTCGGAATTTATGTGTGAAATTTATTTTGAAATTCACTATGGTCTTCTCAGTGAAGAAAAACATCGTGATGAAACCTACACATTGTGGAGGTTCACAAGCTTCGGAAATCGTGTGAAGTCCCCAACCCGTATTGGTCTAGCGTGGCGGACTAAGGCCTAAACCCTCGCCTGAGAGGAGACCCGTGCCCGGCAGTGGGACGTATAGTGTTTGATGATGGTGCTATCTGGAACATAATACTCAGTCACATGATATGACTGGCATATGCTCTAGAACCAGTCTTAAATTGAATAAAGATTTTAAAAAAAGGTTACCAGTACTCACAAAGCACTACGTAATTAAAAGATAATGTCCATGGTTATCAAGATAAACAAAACAATTTTTAAGAATATGAATAGGTCCATAATGCAATCGGCTTGTGATAAAGTGACGCAATTTGTCGTGGCAATGGGCGAGTTATTACACGCAGAACTGTCAACCGATAGGCAAAGGAAGAAAGGTTCTCTAGTGCAAAAGTTTGAAGTCGCAGTGACGCTGTGGAGAGCTATAATTAGAGTAAAGCTCAATTTACATAGCCGCGGATGGAAGCCAATTTTGTAATTATAATATAAATATTTATATACCAAACATGTTTGAAAATTATTGCGTTACTTTCAAAAAACGAACCCGGAAAGTGTGTCATTTATGGACCGTGCGACTTCTTCTCGGTCAAGGCCTGCAAAGTAATTATGAAAATCTATTATGCCGGGTTCGCGAGTCTTTCACTTGGCGTAGTAATCTGCCTTCTGCGCAAAGGCGTTCGGAGAGACTTGCGCGCATGGGCGGCGCCTTGTCTTTGTTTCGGTTTTATCGTACGCGTGGACGCTGCCGCTCTGTGATTGGCCAGTGGTGCTGTCCACTGCAAACGTTCCCTGTTGCTTGCGTGGAAATATCAAACATGCTAGATATCAAACCCACGCAACGCAAAGAAATCTAACGCAAAGCAAGCAGCCGGCGCAAGCGAGCGACTCGTGAACAGTCCTACCTGCGCGCACAAGACAGATCTTTGCGTATGCGCGAAACGCGTCACGCAAGCAAGCGAAAGACTCGTGCACCCGGATACTAATGTCTCCGCTGCTCTAAACTTTTAATCAAAACTTTTAAATCTACCTACTAAGAGGCAAAAGAAAAACTCATACAACCAACTGCCCAGTGTTTCTAATTGCGAGAGTACAAAATATCTACCTGTCTTAGAGGCTGGAAAAAATAATGCTACTTAAACAGCTGACTTTTTTTAAGAATAAGCCGGTAAATAAACTAAAGTGATATACATTGTAAGTCAATGGTGATATAGTATTATTTTCTCTTTTTTTTTAATTATCGTTGCGTAAATGAGTTCTAGTGAAAAGAGCGATAACGAAAATACAGTAATGAATACATATTCAATCACATCATCAGAAGTTCAGCAGACTACAATTAATGGAACTGTGTGTTTAACTGAAAAAAATGTACCTAGGAAAACAATAACATTTTCATAGCACTTGTGCTAACATGTCAGATGTTAGTTTGAAATTTTTTTTTCTTTTTCTATTATACATCTACCTATTTTTAGTCTTTTATTGTTTCCTCAGATTGTTTGAGAAAAGCACTATGCATGCTTCGACGGGATCGGGTATTGCTTGACTCGTATTAACAAGGTTTTCAATTTAAGAAAAAAATACACAATTCATCTGTGTCGACGGGACATTGGCGCTGACAATCAATAAACATAGATGTTTCCAGCAAACTCACTTTCAAATTAATTTGTTTTAGAATTAATAATAATCATGGTGGGGATTTTTAGTTTTGCAGTGGGGATGTGTGTAACAAACCGAACAAACCGGTTTTGTCCACGTTTCGTAGCTTCAACATCAAGAGTGTTATCGATATAAAACAAAGATTTGGTATAAACGCGACGCTGAAGTGTGCTGACAATTCGAGTTCAACTCTTATACAATACAGATGTCAAATTTGGGTGGCTTTTGTGCAAATTGTGCTTAATGTTATTTATGTACGACTAGCCATTTTTTTAATAAAGATATCCAATATATAAAAATCTTTTTGCAAATGTCCTTGTATATTAATTATGCCATCTTTTTTTTTTCGTGGCGAAATCCCCATAGGATACCTTTTCGCCGCTGAGGCAGCGGAGAGGTTATTAGAGGCCGGACTTCTACCGCCTAAAATCCCACGGTGGCCTTTTCGGGCGCTGTTGTGGGAGGGAGCCGGCTTCGGCTTTGCGTATCGGAATCCTTCCAGCAGGTGCTGGAAGGATTCCGAGGAGAGGAGCTACGTCCTCCCCCTCCCCCACCTCACGACGAAGCGGCTGTATGCCAAACTAGAGCAACGTCCTGTTCGACAGCTTTGAATCTTGTCAGTTCGGAGGTATTTTTCTTTGTGTTCAATCTTTGTACAAACATATATCACGGTAGCAAAATAAAGAAAAATGGTCAATAAAATCAATATTAACATTATTAACTTATATTATAAATGATATATAGAAATTTGAGCCTTGATTTTCGTGTCTTAAGTATAGTTAGGCACCATTTTAGTCGACAACATCAATACTTTGTTTCAAAATACGCGGTCAATGGGTCAAGGTCATTAACGACCATTTCATTGTGCAATTTTGTTAACTGCATTTGATTGACTTTTTTCCACAATTGGAAACTAGAATAAAAATACTTAGTTGAATTTTTTAACAGTTCCGGTGGTTACTCGTAAAGTGGCGCACAGGTATAGTTAAGTATAAATATCGTAAGGTATAATTTTCAACAAAGATATTCACACATTGTGTATTTTTAATTCTAACCCACAGCACTTATTTCTTTTTTTTATATTTACTTATATTCCAAAACCAATTTGTCGAAACTTGTTAATTTGTAGATAAATTTTGCGAAGAAAGTTCACGTGGGTAAATAGTATTTAATGAGGTGTGCATATTCGACCTCATTGTCACTGTCCTTCAGGTAGGACGGAGGACAAATGAGCAGTAATTTTTTTTTAATATTCAAAGATAACTTCTGGAAGAATTTGTACTGTATGTAAGTATGTTTATAAAAACGAAATGCCTATGAATTTTTAACCGACTTCTCAATTTGACTTGTTTTTAAATGTTATTCATGTTCTGCAATGATTCAGACATTTGTGTATCGATTTCCATGAATGTTTTTTTTGGAAAGGGCGTACCTCAGTAGGGGTTCTAAGGGTGGCTAATTAGGCGGCTTTCCGTTTCGGTAATTCCACAAACTTTTAAGGTAGATTTTTTTTTAAATAAAAGGCTTTAAATATTATTCTTTGTATGTTTACACAGTATGTCTTCCATTATTAATCAATTTTTTAAGTTGTTACAAAATTTTCTGAAGTGTTAAAACCGTTTCAAAATACCACCTAATATTTTTTACACTAGTTGTTTAAAAAAATGTGTATACAGTCGAAAAGGTGTATCTTTTGCATTCAATTACATCTAGTTTTTTTTAGTGGCATGGAAAGTCGGCGGCAGATAGTAGATTATAAAAAAGACAGCACTATTTTACTTTTGTAATAACAGTTCACAAAACAAATTCGAAGGATTTTTTCTTAGTGTTCGTTCTTTGTATTAATTATAAGAAACTAGTGGAGTAATTTCACAAAATAATAATAATAATATCATGGTAATAGAACATCGTGTCATTTAATATTACAATTATTAAAGCGATATGTCTAGTCAGTCCTTGGTAAAGGTACCTGGCCAAGTTAAGAAAAACTTTTATACATTTCTCTCAAAATAATAATATCTTTATATTTCTTTACATGTATGGTGCCATTGGTCAAGAGTCTAACGCAGCGGGTGGGCCAGCCTTCTAAGAAACGTTTATTAGCGGTGCTATGGAATTTAACCTTCAAAGAGTTACAAGTCTTAGTTAAATGTTCTGTGTGTAAATAAAAACAAAAAATATTTTTCTTCAATTTATAATATCAAAATATTTTACAAAACGCAAGGAAAATCAGTCCAATTAAAATTATTGGTATTAAATACAAAGCATGTAATCTATATTATTGTAAATAATTTACAGATTTATTACAAAAAATAAATAAAACAAAATAATTCACAATAATTATAATTATGTACCTTATTATTATATTTTGTGCGTTTTTATAGTGTACATACAAATCACGGTAAAAAATAAGGTATAATAACTTACTAATTAAACTTACGTATACAGCAAATATATGACATTATCTAGAAAGATTGATTGTTCAAGGAAGTTTTATTTGCGTACATCTATCATTTACTTCATAGCCATATATTAGTGTAGCCACCTTTTAAGGCACATTATACCGTTCTAGCGAAACTACCGTTATTATAGATAATTTTAATCCTTAATTTCAAAACACGTAGAAAAGTCTCAGTATCTCAACTCTATACTACGAGTACTATAAATTAGATAGATACAATCCCTGTATGGGCTTTATTTTGCCAACTAGAAAATTAATGATAAAATTAAATGTATCCTTTACTTGTTCGGTGGGAAGTCAAGTGTCGTATACGCTGGCCTCGTCCTTGGTACGGGGGGCCTTCTGGTCCGCGGATGAGTCTTACCGCCCTCTACATTTACGTTTAATCCAGCCTCCCCTTCTTCTGGCAAGTATGGTGCTCGAGGGCTTAATACCAGAGCCTTATAAGACGAATGGGAGTCGGCAATACTTCTACCATCCCCTTCGTCCCTTCTGGAGAGTTCAGAAAAAGGCGATACGGAACGCTTCTCTGTTCCACTTGGTCCTGGAATTTCTTCTTTCGGCTTCAATTCATACGCATTTTCCTCTTTACTTTTGGGATCTGCATCTTTCTTGAACTTCGTTTGACGTTCTATGATCTCTGCTGTTGTTAAGTCTGAGCCTTGAACATCAGTTCCTAAGGGCGGAGCAGACAACCAAGGTCTTAAAGTACTACCACTGCACCAGTGTTCTTCACTCTCACTTGCCTCACCCAAAAGTCCAAGCTTTTCCAAGTTTTGTAATAATAAATTTTCACTGGAACTTGCAGTTCTCATCTCTGTTTTTGAATCTTCAGCTAAAAGTAACTCTGCTAAAGGCGGAGCTAGACCAAGACCAATGTTCCTTTCGTGATAAACTTCGGAGATAGTAGGAGTTAGTTCTCCGCTCATATGACGCACTTGTGCCAATGAATCTCGACTACTTGTACCCATTTTAGGTCTGGGAACTCGCTTCGATGTTGATGGTTGATTAAGCACTGGGTCAGTCTTGTCTTCTTCTGTTCTTCTTGGCTGAGCTGAAGCCAGGTCATAGAATGCATCCAGGTACCTCGTATGGGAATGTTCAGGACGTCGACGTAATACAGTGTCGTGACCGGAGCTCTCCCAATCTGAGTCATCAGTGGAAGGTGGTCGTCGAGTGTAAAGAGTTCTGATTTTCGTTTGATGTGCCAAAGCAAGGGATACATCCCTTTTAGGAGCAGTGGTTGATGGTGCTGCTGGTGGTGATGGAGTGAACGCAGCGTCACTTTCTCCTCGATACCTTGGCGGTGGTGGGGCTGGAGGAGGGGCTGTTCTGCCATCAGGTTCCCCACGACCGACTTCAGTTGAAGTCGATGTGCCGCGGACGTACATTGTAAAGGCTCCGCCACAGGACCCAAGAGGCAATGGTGGAGGTGGCACTGATGATACATTTTCTTCTGCAATACATACATGTATATAAAAGCTAATATAAAAAGGAAAGAAGTGACAAAATCTGGACTCACAAAAACTTAAGATAATCAAAAAACTGTAACAAGAGGAAGGGATATCTAGAAAAAGTAGCTTACGTCGATGTTGACGCGGTGGTGGTTCGCCATCTGAATGCGGTTCCAGATCACCATCGTCAATGGATGCCAGCGATTCCACACTCGAGCTTGATTCTAAACTAAGACTTCTTGGAGCTTCTTGTGTATCTGAAGGAAAATAAATAAAATCAGTGAATATTTTGGAAGAAACAAAATCAAGTGCATGTAATTGAATTGTATTACTTACCGAATAAAGCCAGTAGAGCTTGAAGGACAAACTGTATGTGTCTTCTATTAGCTGTTTTGCCTGTGCGGAGAGTTACTTCATCTTGTCCTACTTCAGCCAAATCAAAACCCAATGAAGCCAGCAGCTCGTGACATCCGTTTACTCTCCATAGTCTACCAAAAGTAACATATTAAGTATTACATAAATAGTCATTCAAATAGTTCTCAAATATACCAACATTTGCCTTATTGATACACAAAATGCTAACCGGACATTAACAGCTACTTCAATGGTATCACTTTCAGAGTTCTTGACGGAGAATTGGGATATGACAGACCGAATCACGCCAATGATGTCATCTGCTACATCACCGTTTGCTATCAGCTTCGATAGGGCTTGAAGGGTTGTTGAAGTCAGACCTAAAAAAAACAAGATTTTTTAATAAGTAATTAGCTACCGACGTCAGGAGAAGTGTGGTGTTTGTGGAGGTAGATAACTCACCTAGCAAAGCTTGAAGACTTGCTGAACATTGCGTTAATCTTTCTTCAGGGTCACTTTGAGGGAAGAATACGCTAGACGGTATGCCATTTGCAGCAGGTTCAAACCTACAATTAAAATTATTGATGTGGTGAAATCCACAACATAATATGTTAGTAGAAAAATCTTCAATGATTTTTTCCCTCTGAATGTTTGAGTGGTTATTTTTGTTACCTGAATCCAACGCTCATCAAAAGTTCTCGCCAACTAGTGACGTGGCCAGCTTTGTTTTCGATGCTTTTTTGCGTAGTGTACATCGCGTTTTTCTGTCCTCTCACTATTCTTTGTAAAGATTTCTCTACTAAGTGCAGGCAAACTCGTAAGGCATCCCTGCAAATATTTTCTTTTATTGATTTTCTGTAGTGTTTTGCATCTTGCTTGCTATAGAGCAATCAAGATTTCTTAAAGTTCTATTTTTTCAAATTTCCTGTATTCCTACTTACCGACATTTATCAGGTTGCGCCAGCAATTCGCAAAGCGCCTGTCCCATGAGCGCAACCTTGTTGCTGAGGCGTACGTTAGCGCCAAGCAGAATTAGTCCGGACCAATGCGCTGGGTGCGCGAAGTGTTTTGTGTGGCGGACAGTTTGCATTGCATCACCCAATGCCCTGTAAGAAATATAGAACATAAAAATATCAATAAAAATTGCTAGCATATTTATTTGTTGAGAAATAGGTGCAAACAAAAGGTGCTAACGGTGTACCAAAAATTAGTTTTGGTTTAACCGCAACTAGCATTCACCATTTACGAATAAATTACATATTAACTATTTAAGTATCACTTATATATATTTTTTAAAGTCTTGAATGTGAAGTAGGCGATATTATGCCGAAAAAAATTGAGTTAACCTGGTGAATTGCTCACCAATGATATGAAACGAGTTGCAGAAAAGTTCTTTGAGACATACTAAACAAAATACTAAATAACTATAATATTGTCCTTTCTCCATCAAATCAAAATAATGGATAGTATATTACTTAATGGAGCATTAACATTAACGGACGTTTTGGCAATTGAGCGTCAAATTGAGGTGATTGGCACTTACTTGGCAACTCTGCTTCCTTGTAACAGTGCAGAGTACAGAGCTCTATACAGAATCTTTGTAGCAGTATCTTTAGGTGCTGGCCACAAGGTTAGCAATATCGCCTGAGCACCAGCAGCTAATAACGCACGACATAGTCTGGAGACCCCCTCACCCGCTGTCGTGACATCTTCTAATTCTTCCGCACTCGAACCTTGAAGAGCTGTGCTTGATGGCGCGCAAGATATAACCACCTGAGTGGAAATCAAATTAATAAGGTTCTTGTCAATGTTTAGCTGGATCTTAAAAGCATTTTATTTAAAAAAAAAAACAATACATTTCGGAACAACAATGAAGACCTGTACAATAATTGCTTACCAATCTAGCTGTGATTTTAAGATTCGTGATCTCTGACGCTGTAAGCATGAATTCAGATACAGGTGGTAGCTCTTCGTTACTTGCTGGCAGTTCGGTATCTGTCGAAAATGTTACAAAGTTATTTAAGGTAACGGTTTCGGAACCGATACAATAGTTACAGTATGTGGACGTTACATACTTTCTTCCTCATTTTCCGTTGAAGTATCAGCAGTCCCACTTCCGACGCTTGTGTTGAGAAGTCGTTTGGCCTGAGAATCAACCTGAAATGCCAAAGAGTATTAGGTAGAGCAAGCCTTTTTTTGTAGAATGGTTAATTAGTTTTAATTTCTTTACCACTTCACCAGGGCTGAGAACTATGGCAGGTGTCTTCCAGCAAATGTGTGTAGCGAAATGGATACATTCAGCTTGAGGCAATTGGGTCAGAATCGCTTCTTTAGATGCCTGTGTGGAAAAATATTAAATAGAGTGCAGTTTAATAAAAATCGCCTCATTGGCTTCGTATTATTTTGCAAGCTTACAATTTTTCATTGGCCAAATATTATGGTACGTTTTAATATGTCGGGCAATCTGTTAATAGGGTAATTTGATGGAGGAGTATCAAATCAGTCTGCTGTATCAATAGTTACCTGGTAATCAGTAAGAGGTGTAACCCGAAGCATGTCGGCTACAAGTTCAGCTTCTTTAAGCTGAGCGTGTACGGAAGCCCAGCGTGAGCCACCCACTCTTGGTGCACCCACAACGAGGCAACGCATTCCCGCTTCTGCATTATTGGAAGATGCTGTTGCACCTAAAAATGTAAAAAGTTTTAAAATAGCTGTTAGCAGTATGAATTAAAATGTAAGAATATTCTCATCTTGTCAATCGTAAAAGGCCAAATTAACAACGGTGACGAATGTACGTTGCAATTGAAAAGACGGTTAAAGCAGAGCATCGGCTCATATTTTCTTACATCAAATTGAAAATTGTGGAAAAGAGAAAATATAAGCGGCCGCGCTATTCCCGTTCTGAACATGGTTAGGCCCCAAAAGCTAAAATTATAGCTACCAAGAATTGATGTTATTTAAAGGATGTTTACCATGTTCATGATTCGGCCGAACTCTCAAATGCCGCTGGTGTCTCAACGGACGCAATGCTGGTGCTGCGAGTAACGCATACCGTTCGCAGAGTGGCTCAGCGTCGGTACTGCCACGTAGGGCTCCCCATGGACATGCGTATAAAGTCCCTTCAATGACAAGGACTATTTCTCGCCGGCCACCGCAGCCACGACGACCGTGAGATGCTATAACAAACGATAAATAAATTATGAGATGTTACACCACTTACGTGACCTTGATATAGGAATTTCTAGTACCAAAATAAGAAATTTAATTTCGTAGGTACTCAACCCCTAAACCGTAGTTCTTTTACTTTATAATTTGTTTTTCACCTACATACATACCATGGTTATTATTACACGAGGCAGGCAGCAAATCCTCAAAGGGAGCAAGGAGCATTTGGTACAACGCATTCAGGCATGGCGGCCCTTGCCAAGATGATTGCTTCTTGCGAGGACCATGGATACTGGACCTGAAAAATTGATTAATTTTGTACTCAGGATATTATCCCCGATCGAAAACATGTCTATTCATAAATAAGAGATTCACATTACAATGTATCTCATCAGATATCTGTTTCTTATACCCTGTAATAATAAGTACTAGATGCTAATATAGCAGATATTAGCAAATGTCCTTCCTACATTTCCTACACATTGTCAATATGGCTGACTACATCTTTTAAATTAGACATACCTTGTTGAGCCTTGTAAGCTTGCGACAGATCCTGCCACTGATCCTCCCACGGAGCCCACGCTGAACAATGAGCTTAAAGAGTAGTTGGACGAATTCAGCAAATGATTTCGAGTCATCTGAAAAAGAATCGCTTGCTAAGTATTCTACTAAATCTTAGGTTAGACATAGCAAAATAGCCTTTGTAGCAAAACAGAACTTAGACGTAGTATTTAAATGTGAAGTCAGAGCGAGATATATGTATATCCTTTGTAAAACTGTATCAAGGCAAGAGTAGAACTGTACCATTCTTGTAAGCCCAGTAGGTCTCTCATCAGGTTCCCATTGGTCATCAGAGGTTTCACCTCTTCGTTCTGCTGCAGTCTTGATCCACGATGACCACTCAGTAATGCTTCTTTCCAATTTGCCAAGACTACCTAAAGGTTCATCAAATACTTATAAGACGTCTTCATACGTTTTACGTTATTTACGTAGGGTTTGTTGTATTTGTGTTTACCGTTGTTACCTGTATTTGTTTGAAGACCATCAGGACTGATGTCAGGTAGACTATTGTCACAATCTTCAGCTTCTTCTATGAGAGATACTTGGTGGAATCTTAAAATACCTGGCATAAAATGTGGTTATAAGTGTTCACTGTCATTAAGAATCATATCATATCGCAAAACATGGACGAATGTATTAATTTTAGTTTAAAAAGAGGATAGATACCTTTATGAGGTTGTAGTAGCCAAGCATACAGCCTGCCAGCAGCTAAACTGTAGTACAGAACAGGAGATTTCTGTTTATTAACAACTTCTATGATTTGATCCAAGTTCGAAGGAGTCCAAGGTTCTGTTCTTTCCTTGGTAGTCTCTTCAGAAGGATTTTTGAGAGCTACATGTAGCTCTAAGTTGACCTGGTTCAACGTAGAAGCTTGCTTGTCGGTTACCACATCTAAGGAGCGGCAACGACCACGTTCTGCTACTACAAGAGCTTCTGAATGACGTCCAAGTTCTGTGAAAAAATACGAAATAATTGATTTATCAGCTATGTCCATAAGGTGTCCTCGGAATCATGGAATACGCACATTATTAAGAACAGTGTCGTTAAAAATGTCATTAATTGAAGACGAAGAAAAGGTCACAAAAATAGTAACTAATATAAATCCTACCCACGAAAACACGTTGCAAAGCATGTTGTGTAGAAGTATACAATGCTGTAGTTTTTCTATCCCTGTGCTTGTCACTGCCGGTTTCAAGGACATTCAGTGCTGCCTGAAGTTGATCTTTGGCTTCTTCAACTTCTCCTGAAGCCCATAATGCGAAGCCTAAACGATGACGAACTCGTGCCTGGAAAATAGTTTTTCATTTATTAGTAAACGAAAGCTGTTTTAACTGAAAAACAACAAAATGAATAAGTTCTAGAATCGGGATGTTCGGGCATTAAAGTATGACAGTTAATGACTGTACGATCTGAGAAGTACTGCTAGTATCAATAAAGAGCTTGGGAGTGCCCAATGTCGAATATTGGAAAAGTGTGGTATATCTGTGGTCTCTGAGATTTGACCAGACGGAATCGTCATTACTTTATTTGACACACGCAAAATAGGCGCTTTGCCGTCGAGTTGCGGATACCAGCCGTTGCACCAAGTACCAAGTACTTTATTTGACATTTGGAAGACATCCATTAATGTTATTCAGATATAGATATAGCATACTTCTTCATCCGCATCAGCTAATCCTTCCGTAGCGGCCAAGGCTTGTCTCAAATAAGATACAGCACTTCCACAAGCACCCATAGCGAGGTGTGCTCTTCCTAAATCGGCGAGGGCTTGAGCTCGACCTCGAGTGTCACCTGTTAAAAAAATTACAATTTGGAATTGTGAAATAGGACGCAGATGTTACCATGAATAATTATGCCCTTTCGCCGTCCATTCCGTCACCAATTAACCAGACGTGACGAAGGATTTTACTCTTGTCCTGTAGACGTTCAATTTATTTACGTTCAATATGTGCTAAGGGGTCCAACTGTTTGCCATGTTCTATATTTCCTGAACGAAATTATTGGATATTTTTAAAAGTCAGAGGTAGGTGGAGGTAGGTAGGTAGGTAGGTATTTTCAGAGACATGAGATTTTTGTCAAACATAAGCATGATAATTTAGTAAATAAAACAAAATCATTCTAAATGATTATCACTAATATCAGGTTTCTTACCACGGTATGACTTCTTTTTATTTTCCCGACATTTCGGAACGGTTGCACGCTCCGTGTTCACGGGTTGACTGGACGGCGGCAGATGACAGCTTTAAGAGCAGACATATCTGTCTACCCTATTGCGCTGTCGACGACTACCTTCATCGCGATTTGTTGTGGCGTTACCATTGTCTCTCACTTTTTTCACACAAACCACACTCACTGTATCCACACGCGAAACTCAACTCGAGGTGCTTTTGTTTTTATTACTGCACGCACTAAGGACCGGATTCCATGCACTGGACAGTTTAAAACCATCATCACGGTTAAATGTTTTGTACTTCGTGACCTCGATGGCTTCTCGTACCAACCATGGTATGTAGTGACGTTCTGCCGAGATTACCTGAGGGCTATACAACTCGATCCAGTGGTTAGTGTCAGTCTGTGTGAGATGTTGTGCTATAGCCGACTTCTGTGCATCATTGTTTTTTACTGCTCGGATGTGTTACTTCATATGATCGACAATTGTTCGTTTAGTCTGACCGATATACGAGCTCCCACAACTGCAGTTCACTTTATAGACACCCGGTTGACAGTAATAAAAACAAAAACACCTCGAGTTCAGTTTCGTGTGTGGATACAGTGAGTGTGGTTTGTGTAAAAAAAGTGAGTGATACCATTGTAACACCACAACAAATCGCGATGAAGGTAGTCGTCGACAGCGCAAGAGGGTAGACAGATATTTCTGCTCTTAAAGCTGTCATCTGCCGCCGTCCAGTCAGCCCGTGACCATGGAGCGTGCAACCGTTCCTAAATATCGGGAAAATAAAAAGAGGTCATACCGTGGTAAGAAACCTGATATTAGTGATAATCATTTAGTAAATAACCACGAAAGTCTTAAAATCTATTTAAAATCATTCTATTTCATAAATCTGAGTAAAGCTTTTGAAAATGGATGGTAAAAAGTTTTTAAAATTAAATTAAATTGCATCCAGCAATAATGAACTCAAATGACAATTTCAATTAACATACGTTGACTACCTGGGATAAACCGTTTGATAAAGAGTACAGGTTTTAAATCAATCTGAAATATTTTTTTGCTTACCGGCCGCAGTTGCATGTCTTAACCTAGATTCGTGCCAGCGAGCGGCTTCAGCGTGAGCACCCATCGATGCGTGAGCTGCTCCAAGACCACCGCATGCTCTGGCCTAAATAAGAAGTCGTTTGGATCAGTATGGTTTTTAAAATTATTGTGAATATTGACATCGACGGGAATATAATAATTAATTCAAGGCCTGTAATGTGTTCCTTAAGAAGATTGTGTGTTCAATGTCGGACAACACACCAACTAATGAATTAGTGACTTAATATATTTCGGAATAATAAAGTGTATGAGTGTGTGCGCGTTTACCTGTAAGTGTGTCAGTCCCAGTCTATGTGCTAGCTCAAGTTCAGCTCGATGATGTCTAACAGCGGCAGCAAAGTCTCCTAAAGCGTGTTGAGCTACGCCGAGAGAATGGTACGCTTCTGATTCCATAATTTGATTGTTTAATTCCCTGCAAAGTAGAAAGTAATATATATATATATATATTAATAAATTCAAAGATAAATACATAGATAAAGTCTATAATATTTCTTAATTGAAGTAATACGGAATATATTACGATTCTGAGAAAAGAACGGATGATAGGATTCAATTAAATTAACAATAAGAGGTAAACATTCTCCTTTAATAAAAGCTAATTTATTTTGATTAGCGGTTGGTTGTTGTTCAAGAATGGTATTCACAAAATTACGACTCATGAGTAAATTTTCTTTTTCGAAATTGCCTAATTAAGGCTGATAATTGAATACTTACTTGGCGATGTTTTTCTGGTGTTCCAAACAAGAAACGGCCTGTTCCAAATTTCCAAGAGAGATGTGTAACGCGCCTAATTCTCCGAATGCTTGCGCTTTCGCTTCGGGTGCACCCAATTCGTGGGACACAACGAGTCGTTTTTCAAGACAGACTAAGGCTTGTTGAAGGTTGCCTACAGATCTGTACACAAACAGCGAATCAGAAGAATTGAAAGCAGCAAGATGCTTCAATTAAGTATAATGTTAGCTGTATTTAAAACTGTAAAAGGTACATAAACAAACAGCGGGCCTTTGAAGCAGTTAAACAAGTAATTGTCAGGAAATACGCAATGCCCGTATATTTCTAAACTTATCACTGTATTCTTACTTGTGACTAAGACCCAGTCCGCGGTAGGCTCTCTCCTGCTCCCTTGCATTGTTCAGCTTCAGTGCTGCAGCTAAATGCTGTTCATGATATTTGGCTGCTTCATCAGGATCACCTAATGCATCGTAGCAGTCTCCCAGTGACCCTAAAGCTCTGGCTTTGTCTAGTTGACAAGTTGGAGTACTCACTCTTTCTAATATTGCCAGTTGCTAAAAATGTCAAAGTTTTTAATTGAGGACAAAGGAAATTATAACAAATTTTAATACAATTTAATGTAATAGAAATTACCTGTTCCAAATATCCAATAGCATCTTCGTAATGTCCCATGTTGAGTTTAGCAATACCCAAATTACCATACGCTTGCGCTTCTAATGCACAATCTTGTAACTCTTGAGCTCTTTCTAATTGTTCCTAAAAATAGAAATATGGAATCACTAGATTTTAAAATTTATTATTACATGTGCAATCTGTCCTTTTAGTAGTCTATCTAGTAGCTAATATCACACTTATTATAATACACACATCTGATGCGGAGTGAGAGCCTGAGATTAACTTAAAGATATAATTTTGAAAATACTTACCCTGTAGCATCTAGCTGCATGAGAGTAATGACCCAAAGCCATATGGACAGCTCCAAGATGAGAGTGAGCCCTGGCTTCACCAGCAGAATCGCCTGCCTCTTGTCGCAGAGTTAGCTCCTGAAAACGATATAGGATTTAGAAAACCAATCATAGGTACAGACTTTGCAACACGATTAATATGATAATTTCATGATACCTGTGTATGATGGCCCAAAGCGGCATCAAGTCTTCTTTGCAATCTTCGTGCTAAACCTAAAGCACCACAAGCGGCTGCCTCTAAAGATCTATCTCGGGCCTGAAATAATAACACGTTTTGTTGGGTCTAAATGTTATTACAAGTATAACGCATCTGAAAACTTTCTTTGGTCACTACACTAACCTGTCTCGCGAATCCAAGTTGTCTCTGATACATTTTAACAGCTTCCTCTATATCCCCCATTTTTATGAGAACATCACCAATGTTTCCCAAAGCTCTGAACTTCCCTTGCAAATGCTGAGTCATATGAGCAATTGCTAGAAAGTATTTTTGGCATTCCAAGGCCGTTTCTAAGTTTCCCAAAGCGAGATGTGCGAGGCCTAGATTACAATATGCTCTTCCCATGTTCATTTTATCTTGGAGATCTTTGGCTAGTGAAAGGTCTTGGTCATAATACCTGTAATAAATAAAAAGATGAGATTTACTGTTGTAACCCTAACAACTCGGACAAGACATAACAAGAAGAAGGATTTTGATTGTGAAAATCTCACCTGACAGCCTCTCTATAGTTTCCTAAGCAATAATGGGCGTATCCTAGGAAGTGACATGCTTTGGCCTCAGCTGTGACGTCACCTAATTCTTGAGATAACATCAAATGTTGCTCATAGTATGGGACAGCTTGAGCAAATTCGCCTCTGGAGGATAGACAGTTTCCAAGATTCAGTAGTGCGCAAGCTTCCCCTGCTGCGTCTTTGAGTTCTCTTGCAATTCCTGAAAAAGTGCCGAAATTCAAAGTGTCAGAGAAGTGAAGACTTGAATTTTTGGGCACAAGTCTGTGACTCTATTATGACTTACCTAAGTGAGCTCTATAATGAAAAAGCGCCATATCGTGAGCACCTAATGCCTGATATGCTACAGCCAAATTCCCATGGGTGGAAGCTTCAGAGCTTCTATCGTGGACTTCTTTGGATATTGTTAGCTCTTGCTTGTGATATTTGATAGCTTGTTCGTAAAAGCCAGCTGCTGAATACGCGTTGCCAATGTTTCCGTAGGCCCGACCCATTCCTGCTTTATCCTGCAAGGAAAGATATTATTGCTTATTCAGCTCGGTTTTTTATATTTTGTGTTGAAGAGCAAACTTTATAAAAATATGACGTACGTACATTGACTTAGTATCATAGTTTTGTACGTGTTATGTGGCCGGAATCATGAACTTATCATAGATTTGTATATATTATGTGCACGGAAGAAATAACCTAACCTCCGGTTAAAAAAACCGACCTCAAAAGTCATTCATCCCCTAGTTTGCCACCTTTAGAGGTGGAATATTTTCTTAAAATTTAAATGGGACCACATCTGAGGTACCTTCTTGCCAACAAAAGAAGAATTATCAAAATTGGTTCACAAATGGCGGAGTTATTGCGTAATATACATACAAAAAAAAACATACGACGAATTGAGAAACTCCTCCTTTTTTTGAAGTCGGTTAAAAATATTATTTATTATCGAGTTCTTAGGTTTTCGCGATTGTTACACATAGGAAATGAAACTATTTTTCCGGATTTAAATCGCGTATAATTTGTTTTTTCAAACAAACCGACGTTTCGGGCCCTTTACAGGTCCCATGGTCACGGTTGACTGAGGTGGTACAGTCTTCAACCAGTTATGTCTAATATTAATGCAAAACACCCTATTTTTTCACTATAGTTATAATAGTTATTAATTAAATACCTTATTTTTAATTTTACAAAGAAAACATTCCAATTTACGCTACATTAAGTTTTACAAATTATTTTATTGAATGATTTTTTATTAAGTTTAATTTATTATTAATTATTAATAGAAAGTAGAATAAACTAAAACATATTAATTAGTACTGCAGTCTTATGTCTGTCTGGGATTTTTCATTAGAGGAAATACTGGATCCCAAACTGGTGGTACGGAGAAACCATCTTCCCTGTTGAAATTAGGATGTTTTTTAATTTCAATGGCCTCACGCAGCATCCTGGGCAGATAACGGACTTCTTTTGCAAGGACCTGGGGTTTGTCAAACTTCATTTAATGTGTAGGTTTATCCATGGTTTATTCCATATGAAGAAATTATTTGTAACGTTGAGGATTGTCTAGTTAAAAACAACATGAGAAAGGAAGATTTGGAGGCAATACGCCAAGACGTTTCGTCAATATTGCGTTCAAATAAACAGCCCAGACCGAATCTTACTCGAGATGAATATAACGCGCTGAACACCTTCCGCGAAGATCCTGAATTAGTCATCCTCCGTGCAGATAAAGGTAACGCGACGGTGGTCATGAATACGTCAGATTATAACAGCAAAATAACTGACTTACTATCGGATGAAAGCACGTATAAAAAGGTGAAGAAAGACCCTACCACCAAGATATTAAAAACAACAACTAACTTAATATCTAAGCACTCCGATACGCTGAAACTTGATGTAAGTGCGTTTGTGCCCTGCGCCGTGAAATCACCAAAACTGTATGGGTTACCAAAAATACATAAGGCTGACACCTCACTCCGTCCCATAGTTAGCCAGATTGACACACCAACCTACAAACTGGCTCAACACATGGCAAAGGTACTGTCACCATTGAGAGGGAACACTTCCACACATGTGAAGGATTCATACCATTTCATCAGTGGAATCAAAGATCTACGGTTAACTGATGATGACACCATGGTCAGTTTTGATGTTCAGTCGCTGTTTACCAACCTACCAGTAAAAGACTACATTGAAATTGTACGTAGGAAGCTAAGGGAACATAATATGTCCATTGAATATGCAGAATTATTAGAACACTGCCTAACATCAGGCTATCTATTGTGGAATAATGAATTCTACCTACAAATTGACGGTATAGCGATGGGCTCCCCGGTATCTCCCGTTGTTGCCGATATTTTCATGGAAGACTTCGAGGAGCGAGTTTTACCCATGGCCCCAGCTAGGTCGAAGATTTTCATACGGTACGTTGATGATACTTTCACAATATTACCTAAAGATAGCATACCTTCTTTCTTGGACCATCTTAATTCTTTTAGTACTAAGATCCAATTTACTATGGAACAAGAGAATTGTGGTACTTTAGCTTTCTTAGATGTTTTAATTAAAAGAAATCCTAATAACACCCTAGGCCATACTGTATTTCGAAAGAAAACCCATACAGATAGGTACCTCAATGGTAATTCCCATCACCATCCTAGCCAGTTAGCTACCGTGGGCAAATCTTTGTTTCAGAGAGCATATGGTGTCTGCGACAGTAATCATCTGGCGGGGGAACTTCAGCATATAAAGCAAGTCCTACATGCGAATTACTTGAGGATTCCACGCCAATGCCGCAGACCCCGTGTGAAACCACCAACAGTCGAGCGAAGACCTGCCATCTTACCTTACGTGAGAGGTGTTACAGACAAGATCGGAAGAGTCCTCAGGCGTGCATCTATCAAGACCTATTTCAAGCCCCTGAGGAAGATTTCTCTGTTCCTGAGACCCGTGAAATGTAACATCCCCTTACAGGATGCAGGAGTTTACAAGCTTGACTGTGAGTGCGGTCTCTCTTATATTGGACAAACAAAGCGAAGTATTTGTACCCGCGTCAAAGAACATATAGCTGATGTCAAACACCGTCGCGTAAACAAGTCTGCAGTCTGCGAGCATGTCATGGATAAACCTACACATTCAATGAAGTTTGACAAACCCCAGGTCCTTGCAAAAGAAGTCCGTTATCTGCCCAGGATGCTGCGTGAGGCCATTGAAATTAAAAAACATCCTAATTTCAACAGGGAAGATGGTTTCTCCGTACCACCAGTTTGGGATCCAGTATTTCCTCTAATGAAAAATCCCAGACAGACATAAGACTGCAGTACTAATTAATATGTTTTAGTTTATTCTACTTTCTATTAATAATTAATAATAAATTAAACTTAATAAAAATTCATTCAATAAAATAATTTGTAAAACTTATTGTAGCGTAAATTGGAATGTTTTCTTTGTAAAATTAAAAATAAGGTATTTAATTAATAACTATTATAACTATAGTGAAAAAATAGGGTGGTTTGCATTAATATTAGACATAACTGGTTGAAGACTGTACCACCTCAGTCAACCGTGACCATGGGACCTGTAAAGGGCCCGAAACGTCGGTTTGTTTGAAAAAACAAATTATACGCGATTTAAATCCGGAAAAATAGTTTCATTTCCTAAATATTATTTATTGTTCTGTGATTATATGGCAGGAATCATATACTTACTTGTAATTGTCTTGCAATAGAAAGATGGGCTTGGTGTAGCTTTAATGCTGCATCATGCTCTCCTAATAACTGGTAGACGATACCTAAGTTTGAGCACGCTCGGCCTTCGCCAATCTGCAAGGCAAAATTGACATTCAGATAATGTGAACGTCCTTGAAAGAAAGTGAAACTGGTTTCGTTCTAAAGTAAAACAATTATTACCTTATCTCTTGCAGCTAGAGCGACATCCAATTGTCTTTCATGCCATTTCTTTGCTTGAGCATAATCACCAGCACATCTAGAAAGGCATACTCTTTATTATTGGAATTTAAATCTATTTATTATCTTTGGTTGTACATACTTCAAAGTGGTATTACCTGGCTGCGTGGCCTAGGCCAGCATATGCCCTGGCTTCAATAGCTCTGTCCCCTAAATTTTGCGCTATCCTCAAAACATTTTCATGGTAGGCGATAGCTTGAGAGAAGTTTCTTCTATAGTGGTATGATGATCCAAGGTTGGAATACGCTCTTGCTTCTTCAACCTGTACGGAGACAAATAACAATAACAATAAATTTAATGATGATCTTTTTTTAGAAATAAAAGCAACTCCCGTGATTTTGTCAAAATATAAATGTGTTTATACCTGATCACCGAGTCTTCTCGCTAGTCTCAAATGTTGTGTATGACAATCTACAGCCGAGTCGAATTCTCCCATAGCCAAATAAACAGCTCCGACATTTCCAATTTCTCTTGCTTCCTGCAACCGATCTCCCATTTGCTTCACCAACTGGACACATTGTTTGTGACTAGCTAACGCGTTGGGATAATCTCCTATAGCTGTGTAAACGTGTCCTAGTGAGGTTAAAGCTGCTGCTGCAGCTTGAGTGTCCTGTAAAACAAAAAAGAAAATCAACTGATGTTTGATTTATCAACTTGGATGTGAATGATGGTCTATTGGATTGTGGAGATTACGGTACCTTTTGTGATGGGCTTTAGGTTATCATAACGGTTATTATAATTATAAGACACTCTGTGTAATGTAGAATACATGGAGACATCAATGAGATAGGTGTTCTACGGGTTGAAAGTGATATGCGTCATAAAAATATGATAGACAGTAAAGCGTTCGTGTTTGAAGGGTCATGGGTGTTGAAGTCAAGACACCAATTATTTTATTATATTATATTATTATCAAACCTAGATTATCATACAGATTGTGATAGTCCTGTGTATGAAAGGTCCTGACTTTTATTCGCGGATAACCTAATTCCAAAATTGGAAATAGGTATTCCTGGAATGAATGCAGGTCTGAAATGATCCTGGATCTAATTGTTACTTTGGTGCTTATAGTACCGCCGATTCCCAAGTACGACGTCAAGTAATCGGTGTGACTTACTGGACGTTACTATACAATAAAACTCATTTTTTCGCATAGTGCTTATAATTCACATATCTGTAACATGGTTGTCTAAATTACTTTACAAAACTTATCGCGTTATAAGTGTTAGTTCCTTATAGACTTATGCCCAAAGCACTTAGCACTCAATCCATAATTTTGATTAACACATAAGTGTTAAGTGTATAGTATGCTTTCACATAAAGTTAAAGAGCAGGTGTTATTCGCATCGCCGAGATCAAGCGCTTGCGGAATTGACCTCCGCGTTCCTTAGTAAGAAATTTCTATTGAACGCACCGCTTGACTTACAGAGTAATAGAAATGCCTCATAAAATAAAGGTTCAAAGGCCCTTAGTTACATTACCTTTCAAATCAATGCTATAAGCAAACCTTGTTGAAGCGATGATGATTCTGAGAAAGACAGCCTTATAAGCCTAGAGTAAGTTGACCCGCAGGTCCGAACTTCGTCTTTAAGGCTAAAGCCGTATAAATAAAGTCAAAGTCAAAGTCAAAGATTATTTATTCCATAGGTAAAATAAATTTACACTTGAAAACGTCACATTTACGCTACTGCTCGTTCACTACGCTGACCTCCCTGAGAAGACGAGCAAGAAACTCTAGGGATTGCTCTTTTCAAATAAACTTAAATGCCATGGAATACATTTTGAATCAAATTTGTGTGGATTCTGCAGCCGTGTCGTCTTTCCATATATCTTTATCTAACACGTAGTCTTCAATTTTGTAATATGATTTTTCGATCAAAATATTTTTAATGTGGTTTTTAAACTTAGGAAATGATAAACTTAATATATGCTCCGGAATCTTATTGTAAAAACGTATACAGTTCCCCATAAAAGAGTTGTTTACCTTGGTTAAACAAAATCGTGGTACCATGGGTTTAGACTTAGCTCTAAGGTTAATATTATCTTCTTTCTTATTAAAATTATGTATATTTTTACGGGCATATAAAATATTTGAGTAAATGTACTGTGTTGCCACAGTCATAATACCAGTCTCCTTAAACTTTTCTCTGAGAGGAACCCGAGAGCCTAGACGGTACACAGAACGAATCGCTCGTTTTTGCAATACAAATATGGTTTGAATATCTGCCGCTTTACCCCACATGAGAATCCCGTAGGACATTATACTATGGAAGTAACTAAAGTAAACTAGTCTAGCAGTACTAGCATCGGTAAGCTCACGTATTCTGCGGACTGTGTATGCAGCGGAGCTTAATCTGCTGGCCAGGGAAGATATATGTGGAAACCATTGAAGTTTACTATCTAAGGTCACTTCCAAGAAGATTGCTTTATTAACAAGGTCTAACTTTTCTCCGTTTATTTCTATGCTTGGACTAGTCAATTTTACGTTAGGTAATTCAAATTTAACACATTTTGTCTTCTTGGCACTAAGCAATAAATTGTTAGCATTAAACCAATAAACTACCTTAGAGAGGGTATCATTAATATGGTCATAGTTAAGTCATGTCTGTCTGTTTTAAAAACCAAGGATGTGTCATCAGCAAATAACACTATTTCGCAATGGTCCTTAACAAAGAATGGCAGATCATTAATATACATCAGAAATAAGAAAGGGCCAAGTATTGAGCCCTGCGGAACACGCATTTTTAGCGGAGAACCCAAAGAAGTCACACCATTTATGTCTACTTTCTGAATTCTACCGTTGAGATATGACGAGACAAGTTTCGACGCCTTGCCATTTACACCGTAATGTTCCAGTTTCCTAATAAAAGTAATATGATCAACGTAATCAAATACCTTGGAGAGGTCACAGAAACCACCAATAGCGTTCGGGGACCTTTCCCAAGCATCAAAGATGTGTATTAGTAACGCTACCCCCGCATCGCTAGTCGATCTACGACTAGTAAACCCGTATTGTTCACTATGAAAAATATGATTCCTACCGAAATAGGACAGTAGTTGAGTCAGCATAACCTTTTCGAATATTTTACTTAAAGCTAGTAAAATTGAAATGGGCCTATAATTGCTAGGATCAACTTTCCTACCGCTTGTGAATAAGGGAATAACCTTGCTGTATTTCATTAAAACTGGAAAATCACCTTCGTCAACGCAACTATTGAAAACTACAGCTAAATGTGGGGAAATTAAATCAATAACTGAGTCTATAACTTTAGTTGATATGCCCCAGATATCTTCAGTTTTTTTAACATGTATTGATTTAAAAGCTTTTATGATGTCTTGTGGATTAACATGACGGAAATTAAATAAACTGCCACAAACATTAACATTTTCCTTTAGGAGATCAATAGCAAGTGACAGGGAAGAATTTAATAATTGAGTGTTCACAGCAATTTCCGAAAAGAACGATTCAAAAGCTTGGGCTACTTTACCTTTAGATTTTATAAGCTTTGCTGTCTAATTCTAAAGCTATATCTCTATCGTGTTGTTTAACCCTGCCTGACTCTTTATTTATTATGCTCCAAGCAGTTTTAGACTTAGTTATACTTAACCTTAGCAGCTACACATACTTTTTTAAATATTTTTGAATAAATTCTAACATATTATATGAAATTGGAATTAGTATTATAAGTTTTCATAGCAAATAACTCATACAAACGAGACCTACTCTTATGAATACCGACTGTTACCCAGTCGTTGAATTTTGTCTCTCTATGGAAAGTTAATGTTTTCGATTTAAGTATATTATCAAATTCATTTTTAATTAAACCAAATGTCGTGCTAAAGTATTTGGAACCTCCGGTATATGGGGTAGGGAATTTAAACTATTGCCGATATTATTTTGAAATCTAATGATTCATTCTGTGGTAATGATTCGGCCTGCAGACAAATTGGTCTACCTTCTTGCTCATTTTACAATTAAAAGAAGCCAATTGGTCACTGTGGTCTGATCTTAAGCTATTTATTACTGATTTAGACACTGCGTCTGTGTTACAAAAAGATGTTATCAATACAAGTAGGAAAGGAGGCAGTGATGCGAGTTGGTTCTAAGAAAAGATTATTCAAGTTAAAACTTTTCAATAAATTAATGAGTCTTACAGAAGTAGAACAGTATTCCGACAGGTTTACATTGAAATCTCCACATATTACAACGTTTTTTTTGGTTGGAAAAATCCGCTTTAAACTGTCTTCCATAATTAATTCAAACTCGTTAAAATTAGCAGAGGGGGGCCTTTATACACATAAGACGTCAAACTGATCCAATTCCACACATGAAATCTCAATAGTTCGTTCAGTAGAAAGGTCTGTGATATCCTTATGCTCTTTAAATTTTAAGTTATGTTAAATAATAATCATGGATCCGCATCTACTTAAGCTCTTTCTTATGAACGTACTGACTATTACATAATTTTCTATGTTGTTAATTGCTTCGTAGTCTTTCAGCCAGTGTTCTGACACACAAAACACGTTAACGGAAATATCGTGCACAAAAAGACTTATTTCTAATGTTTTGCCAGAAAAGCCTTGAATATTTTAATGTACTACGTGGAAACGATTAGACTTTTCTGTTGTCGTGTTTTTCAGTTTAAATTATGGTTAGTAAAAAGTATACTGTTGCTACTTAAAGTAGGAGCTTTGTCGTGGGACTGTGATATATTTTCTATAACAGCGTCCTTAATATTAAATGATAGCAAACTAGCTATATGTCTCAGATATCTTATGGGTAAAAGTAAATTATCCTCAAAAAGTTTGAAGTTCCTTACGAACCTATTAATGTCAAAACAAAATATAACGTCACTATGACGGCAACTCAAATTATGAATGTAAATACGTAACGGAATAACCATTTTTTTTTAAATTTTTATAATAATACTAAACTACCGTACATAGTTATTTTTACTTGACATTGGCAAAATCATTGATTATTTCAATGGGGCCATAACATTTAAAAGAAGAAGAAGAACGAAATAACATCGTGGAAATTGTAATTCGAGGATGTTTATTATTATCAGTTAGGGTGGACATGTCTTGCTTCGGAAGGTACCTGTGCAAGATCGTCGGAAGGGAGCCAAATGCTGAGTCACGCATCACTGCGGACACGCAGAAGATACGGAGCAGCATACATTGGCCGATTGTCTAGTATGGAGCGAAGCAGAAGGTTGGGAGCAAGCTGTCGCTGCCGGCCGCAGTCAAGGCTATGGTCGACAGCGACAGGGCGTAGAAAGCAGCAGTCCGCACTTTGCCAAGCAGTGGTAAGAGCGAAGGAGAGCGTGGAGCGGATGAGGGAAGACGAGGCGAAACAACGTTAGGTTTTAGTCGGCACGTGTCCGACATAACCCTTTGTCTCCCTGGGCGAAGGGTATCCGTGAGAGCCATGAGGATTTCCTGACATTAAAAAAAGGGTGGAGATCTCATTGTAATCTCGATTTAGTGCTGCAACCAAGAAACTCTGCAGACTATCCAACTCAGAACTGTCTATACATCTGTTTGGGCGTATTAAATAGGCCTCGGTGGGTTTTGGGCTTACAGATGGTGAATTTTTTGACTTTTTGG